GATAAACAGAAGCTGAAATATATGAAAACATTTAAGTTTTAAGATCATGACTACTCTTACACTTCTGAGAGGTGGTATTGATTATTAGACAGGATGTTCAAAATTCAAATACTGACATGGACAACATGTTTAGTTACAGTTTTTCTGTTAATTAATGTTATAGGTAAAATTGATATTCAGCAGTAAGGAAAAATATGTAATATGCAACCAAAATATCTTTTGGAGTATTAAGCACCAATAATTTTAGCTTTATGCCTTTTACTTAGATTATATTGTAAGGAATTCATAAGTAATGCACATTATTTGTACATCTGTTTCTTATGCTTTTACTTTATGACTTTATTAGATTATATACCAGCATTTATTATTTAAAAGGTAATTACAGTGCTTTCATGATACTGTGATGCCTTTTCATTTTTATGTGGAATTAAATTCCCCTTAATATTATATGTTTCATTTAAAATGTCAAAATTGTCTTGTCAAAATTTACTTCATGCTTAATTTTGAATTGCTTTATTGATGGTATTCAATTAATTGATATTAATGGTGTTATGTGAAAAACTAGGCTTGAATTAACTTAATTACCTGTTGCAATATTTAGTGAGAAAGAACTTATGCAAGTCAATCAAGTGTGAATGCGCAGTGTCAGCCTCAGTAAAGGTATTGTAATTGAAGAAATCCTACTGCTTTAACAATAATCTCTGCTGACTATGTCAGACATGAGCCTAGGACTGGGTTCCCATGCCTAGATCGATCCATCTGGATCAGTCTAACTTCCTGGGGAGTCTCACTAAATTGCTATCAACTAACCAGCTTAAATGTCTGTCACGCCTACCGAATCAGCTAGGGGGTAAAGATAATTACCCCCTAACAGCTTTACTAGGCGTGACAGACATTTAAGCTGGTTAAGTTGATAGCAATTTAGTGAGACTTAACAGGAAGATAGATCAATCCAAATATCTGTGGGAATGGTCCCTATGTTAAAAAAAAAAAACTGAACATTTATTATGTGACCCAACACCTAACCTTGATGAATCTCAGGAACCATCAGAATTGAATTTAAAAACGCAAAATTCCGCTTTTCCACAGAAAAAGCTCATGTCTACACTATATACTGAACATTCAAGTGCACCAAACAAGTAAAGTGGTATGTTAGATTAATAAACATGTGAATTTGTGAAATGGATAGAGATCAATTAAAAAATTATTTTTCTAAGTCTAGTGGTTTAGCATGAGTAGCCATGGTATCCATCTTTTTCTTTAACACAAAATTGATTATTTTTACTACTAATTGGCAAGAGGTACTGTTTGTTAATATTCTTGTTGCACTGATAATTTAGATTACAATATACACGTACATTTTATTCATTTGTTTTCAAAGAGATCATTTTTTAAAAAATTATTCATGTTTGTATTGAGGCATTGTAGGCAGTAAGTGTTTATTGTTTTAACGTACTATTTATTCATTTCTTATAGATGGATGTTGCTGAGGTAGAGGTTAGGGTAGTAACAGAAACATACCAAAAATATCATCAAAATACATTTTAAAAGGCACTTTGAGGCAATAAATTAACATCTCTAGTTATGTTTTAAATCATGATAAAACACTTTTTAGTGGCTACTGTTTATTTACCAGGTAGCTGTGTGAGTAAAAAAATCAGTAGATTTTTTTATCAAATTTTTTGTGTTTTTGCCCTAAGTTTTTCACTCTAGTTATTCTTAACTTTGGTTTGACATGCTATAATTTTATCTGGATAAATACACAAGTAGGTTATAAGAATGGTTTTAATGATATTTATCATGATATTTTAGACTTAATTTTAACATTATTACAATAAAAGCAAAAATAAAAAAAATTTTCTTGTTATCTTTGCCTTGTTCTATGAAAGAAAATAAAATTGTAAGTACGTATATATTGGCACATTAGTGCTATGAAAATGTATCCTTTACATACAGAATAAACATATATATATGGTTGTTTTCTGTATAACCTACCAAAAACCCAATTTTCATCTGCAGTTTTGATTTTAGTGAATTTTAACAATCTTGATTAAGAACAAGTGATTTAATGGCATGGGCTTTTTGATTCAAAACAAACAACCTGTGTTTGGGAGGGGAGCATATTAGATAACTACATCAGATCACATTATCAACCAATGCACAGAGACAAGTTGACTGTGTTGCCTCTTTTGTACACCTCTGATCATTCAAATTTGCCATACAATCTGCTCAAGAAAGTGTCTTTTAACTTAAGTTTAGACGGAGCCACTTTAATCAGCTGATTGCATCCTGTGCAGTTGAGACAGACAGGTAGAAGTGAAAAATTGCTCACTGATTGCATCCTGAGCAGTTGAGACAGACAGGTAGATGTGAAAAATTCCTCACTGATTGCAATCAGCTGATTGCATCCTGAGCAGTTGAGACAGACAGGGAGATGTGAAAAATTGCTCACTGATTGCAATCAGCCGATTTCATCCCGAGCAGTTGAGACAGGCAGGTAGAAATGAAAAATTGCTCACTGATTGCAATCAGCTGGTCTTGACAAAAAAAACTGTACACCTACTTTGCATGGAATTTAACAGAGCTTATTCATGTTCTACATTGATTTTGTCATGGGTCAAACCTTGTTTCTTTACCAATGAAATCAGAGAAATTTCATCCCGAGCAGTTGAGACAGGCAGGTAGAAATGAAAAATTGCTCACTGATTGCAATCAGCTGGTCTTGACAAAAAAAACTGTACACCTTCCACTTTGCATGGAATTTAACGGAGCTTATTCGTGTTCCACATTGATTTTGTCATGGGTCAAACCTTGTTTCTTTACCAATGAAATCAGAGAAATTCCTCTTGATCACGTACTATGTCTATGGGGGCAGACTTCTCTGAATAGGCAGCTTTATAATGAATTATCATCAAAGGAGTATTTAGAGGGGTCAGCAACCCAGGTACATAATGATTCCATCTGGTCAAGCCAAATTCAAGTGCAAAATGTGAAAACTTCCTTTAAAAGATTGTAATTTGAGCTTCGCACATCATTACTCTGTGGTGTTTCTGTTCACCATGTGTGTTTGATGTCACTCAAGAGGTTTGATGGGAAACTAAGGTTCTGGGAAATGTTGACTTTGCTGTAGAGAGTTCTTATTGTGTCTTGATTATTGAAGTGTTTGTGAAGAAGTGTTATACAAAACACAGCAGCTTGATGTCTGCAGACCATCTGTACATATCCAAATAGAAAATGTTCTCAGATTATTATGTGAGAGAAAATTTATGGTTGTAATACTCTAGTATATTATAACTCCACAAGTCATCAATAGATGCAACCTGGAAAATACCTAAAAATGATAGTATACTTCCAACAAATGTTTTGCCCCAATTATAAACAAATATTAAACTTGATTAACAAAGGAAGAATCTATAGACCAAGTCGTTAATTGATTAATTTCTGCAGAACTGAGTCCTCTACAGAAACCAGACTTATTCATCAGTTGTCACAATATTGCTTCATCCAATGAATCAAAAATGAATCATGTTTTTAACATTATGTCAGGAAACATAATTTTTCCTCCAGCAGCATGAAATTGTATTATCTTGTCATCTGCCTGCCATCCATACAGATGGCTGTGGCATCCAGTGCCCATTGAACTCTAATTGGTAGCCATTGTCTTGGGGCAAAGAAGGCACCGGCAGACGCTCTGCAATAAAAGGGAATGAGTGATTGCCTTGAAATATGAGGCATATCTGCCCTGAAGGCAAAATGATTATTTTTTTAATTTATTTATTTGCATAATATATTTTTAATTTCACATTATGACTATATTGATTTGCATTCAAAGATGTTTTTAAGTAAATTAAAAAAATTCTTTAGAATGAGAATCTTCTGCATCTAAGAAATGTCATATCATTCTGAATAGATGTTCTGACTAGTCATCTGTAGACAACTTATTCTTTAGAGAATAAAGCAGTAGACATACTATTACAATTAGACCCTAAGTGTCCCATTAACTGTAGTGCTTTATTGATCATTTCATGTTTAAGTGTTTTAACATCGTTGGACAAAGAGTCAGGAAACTGATACCCTATTATCCCTTTCTTTTCATACCAAAAATCATTTCAAAAAAATAAAAATTATAAATAGTACTTTTGCATGATGTCTGCTTGAAACAACTGGCATCCATGTGATAACAGATTTGGTCAATTTAATTCATTAAAAGCCATGACATTGTAATCTTACTGATTTATTAATATGTGTTAATTGGTGAACAAAGAACTTTTTAAGAACAAAGAACAAAAAAAAACTTGAAAATGCACTGTTCAGTTTAATGCAAATAAATCATGTTAGACCAACATTTGTTCATCACGTTTTTTTTTTAATCATTATTATCATTATTCATTATCATACATCTTGTCAATTTTGTAAATTCATCTGTCCAAGTACAAGAACATTATGAAAAAAATTTAGCTTCAAAAATATTAACCATATAACAATTTCTTTAAATGTTATATGGACGATTTTATCTCCCAAGTGCCCGAGCTTTTGTGCTATACAATAGAACGGGAGGAGGCTTTTTTTTTTTTTTTTTTTTTTTTTTTTTTTTAGTAATAAAAATAAACTACACAGCAATAGCACCAATAAATTGACAAATCAAACAATTGTTGTAGAGTCTCGTACAAAGCTCACGAAACTTGTTCAAATCATTTCCATTCAGCGTTTTCCAAAATTTCTCTTCTTTTTTATTGACAGCCATTTAGTTGTACAAACAGCCAGCTCCTTAACCAATATTTCCAAAATATCCACATTTGTTTAGTCCGTATGTCTTCAAGCTTGGTTTTGGTTTAATTATAACTGTGATAAAAATTCTGGTCCTAAACCCCACTTTCTTTTCCATTTGCCATGTATGATGTTTATTTTCTTCACCAACGTGCTCTACACAGAAGATTGACATTTATGCAAATAAGATAGCTAAATAAGGCGCTTGACCCCCAGCCTCGATTTGGGATACACACTAAACAAGAAACATGATGGCGAGCGGCTGAACGGAGTTTACGTGCATTTGGCGTGGAATTCAAGCATTTTCTAGGATTTCTACTTGGACTTAATTTTACAGATGAACTTATGAAAGATATAATAATCTTAAAGTGCCAAATCTTGGACAATTAGGACTTACTATGGCTAGAAATCGGCCTCGGAAACGATGGGGTTTACCGTCCCTTGTGTCAGTGCTTTTACTCGGCCTACTGCAGTCAGCATTGGGTAAGTTTTCAATTTCCATCGTTCTTTGATTTTTGCCATATCTTTAAGGAATGCAATGCGTTTAAAACTTCAGGCACTCAAGATTCAAATGGTACATTTCCAGCACAGGTGGAACACTTTGGGAAATGAATCTTAGATTTATCATGCACTTTTGGCCTAGGATTCGGAACATTTGAAAAGAATGCTCTATTGTTCGAAAGGTGATTGCAGAGGGCAAGCCTGTAAGTGCATACACCTGGCTTTTAGATCAGTCTCCAAGTGGGGGAATGCTCTATCGCTATCCAAAATTTTCCTTTCATTTACACAGATGCATTGGTGTTAAATATTGTGTGATCCATATATCAAAGCGCATGTTGATGTTTAAGAAATGCAGCCTTTAAATACGTGAATAAATACAGGAGATATTACGTTCTGATCTGGCTCAACCAAACAATGTGAAAAAAGTTCCCTTCATTAAATTATGTGGCAAGCATACTTAATAATTGAATAGCTATTTCCAAATCATGGTATTAAAGTAATTACAATTAAGAATGGAAATGAATTTTAATGACGACAATAGTAGCTCATATTGACCTGATATTTTAATAAAATAATAACCTTACCAGCAGTGTTCATTAAAAACCAATAATACCTTATGAAGTTTGAAGTAGTATCATCATGCATTTTTTTTTTTTTTTTTTTTTTTTAGTTTCTTTTGCTTTTTTTGTTTCCTTTTATATTCCCAATTTTATAGAAATGTTTGGTAAAATAAAAGACCACAACTGTCCTTATTAATTCTTTTTGATGAATATTTTCCTAGTCCTTTGATTTATTAATCAAGATCAAAGATGTTGCTTTAAAATTTCATGTAACTATTCAATCATTCAGCTACCTCATGCTGTGCAAATGCAGACTCACTTCTTTGAAGGCTAGGATAATATATTACTTCTACCCATTCTTCTGGGAATACCCAATTGGTTTAATTTCTAGATACTTGTAACATCACTCACTTTGCTTGAATCTCAATAATTGGAAATGTCTCAAAGGTTCTGCATGCATATTGTTAGGACTAACTCAGAAACAAAGACGAATACCTCAAAGATAAAGCTATAGATCTTTTATAGTATATCTACTTTGGCATTGTGCTATTAGAATTATGAAAAGTATTCCACCCCAAAGCTTAAGATCTTTAAATATCTTCTCCAGTATGGTCTCTTGTGTGCCACATCCTTCATTCACTCTTATTAATTTCCATAATGGCCTGCCATAAAGATGGGCATTGTTGCACATTACACAAGTAATTACAAATGCCTTTAATTTCACAAGGCTCCACGCAGTATAAGAACTAGTTTTCTTATGCCATGAATGCAATTAACCATTTTGTACTGTGCACATGAATATTCAGTGTCATGTCTGGTACAATTAGAACTGTCCTGCCACATGCTGAGCCATGAGGATAGTAATTCAGTGACAAAGTTGTCTTGTTGGTAGTGTAATTGGGTTGATGTACTGGTCTCAAGCCCGGCTGTATCATCCTGACAGTCCCCTTGGGGGAGTAATCAAATTATTTGCCAGTACATTGAGGAATTCTAATTTTAAGTTTCCTCTTTAGTGTCAACATTACTTAAAGAATCTAATTGAAGGTGAAGGTGCAAGAAGCTAGTTTAAGTCAGTTTTGACCATTTGGGCAGGGAGAGTGGGGTCACCTGTGGTAGTTTTCATTCAGCAAATTTAGCCTTCTCACCTAACTTCTTATCTTCAAAGTCCAAATTTTTTCTTTGATCCAATCTGATGACCCTTTATGACTATACTGGACTATAATTTAATGATTACACATCTGAGTAACTTAGACTGCATAATATATGTTTGCTGGGACCCTAGAAATGACCATACTGTATTCATTTTATGCGGCCACAAATTTGATGCTCCTGGTCAGAGATTTATGTGCACTTAAAATGGTTGCTAGAGCACAGAAGTTGAACCACTTATAAAGGTGTTGAATGATTACTAGATGGCAAAAACATTATACAGTCCATAAATTTGGCCGAAAATCATTCAAGCCAGAAGTCCTGGGTCAAGCAATATGCTGACCCTTTGGTTTGTCTCAGTGACCTTTTATAACAATTACATATAGAGTTGTCTTGAGTGCCTGGTAATTTAAGAAGTGAAACTTAGCAAATGATGGGGAAGAGGTTTGTCAAAGCCCCAACAAATAGAGGCAAGACTGGGTAAACAAGATGTTGCTGGAGGTGTGCTGTAGCCATTCGGTCCCTCTGTTAGCATCAGCAATTCCTAATCTTCTTCTCAATGCAGCAGTGTTTGTCCATGGCTCTACATTCCATACAACTTGGCTGATCTGATGCTTATCTGGGGGTCTGGAGAGCTGTCCAAAATGCTACAAGGCAACATTTTCAAAAAGCTAGCAGACAGAGGAGAACTCCAATTGATTGTTAGTACTTAGTCAAAGCAATAGTGCAGACTAAACTAATTTTCCTCCTCATAGTTATTTGATTTCACGTGTTAGGCCACAGTCTGCTTACGTTAACAAGAGAACAGTAAATGTAAACTTGTTTAATCAAATTGCTTGCTAGAGGTGGTTTTTTCTTGAATTATGTTCATTATTTTTAACAGAGTTCCAGTTACTTGTGAATAGCATTACATCACAGACAAAGACAGATTAATAAAAGTCATCAAACTGCTAATGACTTTAATTGTGTGACTTCAACATATTTGGCAATACATGTTTGCTTATATTTCCCCATAGATACACACAAGCTATAGAGTAGAGTCTGACCCTGTCTTGCGGCTCGTATAGTGTAATACTTTGTCCCAAATGTACGTATTGAAAATCATTGATCTGTGCCTCTGTGGAGTCCCATTCACTGGGGTTGTACAATGGTCATCCTACTGGGATTTATCCATATGAAAAATGAGACATAGGCACCAAGAGTATGGAGATGCTAGCAGCACAATATCAGTGGGATTATTTCTTTGTGTTAAATTGATATGGATTCATTAATTATTTGTTATTATTTGTTACTTTTAAAAGAGTTGCTCTTTATATGGATGTGTTACAACTGTCAGGCTTGTATTGGCAAAAATCATTTCTGAATGCTGCATTTATTCAGGGTTCTGCAGAAACATCTTGAGTAATAACACCCAAGGCAGCCAGAAGATGTTATTCATGATTCAGTAAACAAAAAATCTGTGGATACATGGAAGGCAAATGCACCTTCATTCCACTTGAACTAACATACTAGTGAGTCTTATTTTTGCACCTTGAGGTGGGGACTTTTCTTGTTACAAGGAATGTTTTAGTTGGAGCTTAGGTAAACCTAACTTTCAGTGACCTATCCCAATAGGCATTTTGATCTCTTTTAACTCATCACGGGGAGTAAATCTAATCTTTCTGTTGTCATTGCAGTTCAGGTAATTCTCTTTGCTGCAGATAGACTCCCTGGTAAAGTAATTGAAAACAGGCAGCTAGCTGAAATGAGTTGAGCTAAGTTAGGTCAACCTATCCCCACTGAAAACAGGCCTCCGGAGCATCTTACATTGCCTGGTTCAGAGCTGATTGATCTTTCTTCAGAATAAAACAGATTTCTGACTTGGCACCTAACCTTAGAATCTGCATCGATTTAAAATGTGGCTGCATGAGGAGGGATGGCTTTGAATTGGATAATCATAACTAAAAAAAGGAAAAGTCAATAAATGTATTTGTGTTAAGTAACTGGTAACTGACTGATATAGATACACAGCAAAACTTCATAACAATCTTTCTGTGGATGTGGCGTTCATGTGACTCATATATGTCCTGAACCAAAAAAAAACTAGAACCTTGTTGTGAAGTAATAATGGCCAAGAATTTATGGCAACCTTTTCCGTGCATATAGCTGTGATAACTCATCCTCAGGTTTTTTATGATATGACAGTACGTCATTACAGGTCACCTCATTGTGTAAAATTCACCCACTTTTCCCCAGATACATCATTCATGACAGTGCAACTGTCAAGGACTGGTTATGTTTTTAATTGTTTTGATAGACTTTCACCTCCTGCTATAAATCTGTGGGAATATTTATATGTTTCCCTCATGGGAGGGTCTCTAAAGAAAGGCCAGTCTCATTTTTGAGCTTCACATTTGAACCTCCTTGCCATTTCTCATTATGTTCAGTGGTTAGCTTTCAGTTGTGTTTTTACCAGACTGTGTCATTAATTCCACCTTTTTCTCCCTCTTTGTAGATGTTTTTCTACATCTATGGGGTGTCTGCTACTTAACCCTCAGTAGATGTATTACTACAGTTGGATGTGAAAGCCATTCTCTTTTCCAGTTGACAAACTATCGGTAATGATTTTATTTTCTGGCCACTCAGGCTCACTCCCAGCATGTGGGTTGGGCCCTGAGCCTCCGCCCTATTGATGCCAAGGATTACTCTGACATTTACCACAGTTCATAGTACCTGACAGTTAGGCTCATTATGACCAGACTACCTGGGGGGACAGCTAAGCCATTAGTGGTGGCTTTCTCACCTTCTTGGAGCAAAAGAGACATTGCTCTGACCAGTGGTAAAAATGGACAGATGTTTACATTCTTGGTCAGGTAGTCCCAAGTGACCGATCCTGGTCTTTGGAATGCTGTTTTAGAGTCCTTTTTTATTCAGTATTGGGGTTATGGGTTCAGGTGATGTACAGTACTCCTGTTGTTTAATGAAAGAGTAATGGGTTCGGGCGCCCACCGTTGTTTAAATTTGTGAAATTAGAGAATATAAGAAGTACATGTCAGCTTTTAAAACATACAAAGAATATAGGATATGTTGAAATCTGTTGACATGGCCCTAATGCAAAATTGACCTGAAGTATTTGTCAGTCGGGATATGTTGAATTGGGAGATGTAACAGGATTTAGAGTGGAGTGCAGGCTCAGGGGCAGTTGGTTTAAATGCTTTTTATCGCAATAAAAATGGGCTTTGTTTTACAGGGGAAGTCGTGCTGGCGACTTGGCAGCACTCACTTTCTGTATAA